CCCCCCCCCCCCCCCCCCCCCGTTCTCTGGTGTAGTACAAAGGGTTGTTAGATCCGCGTCAGCCTTTATTGATTTTGAAGGAAACTGAGCGCCACACCGTGCAAGTTTCAGGGGCGCTGTCGTCTGTCACAGCCACAGCGCGCCGCAATCTCGCGCCCCCCCGGGCTGGCACTCCTCCCCGGCAATGCGGCACTGGCCCCTCTGAGCAGCCGGGCTCCTGACTCTCCGGCTCCCTCATTTCTGCTGAGCGCGGCAGAGGGCGGGGGACAGGGCCCAAGGCTGATGGGTAATTTCCTTTAATTACCTGCAAAGGCGGAGTAGGGATTCTTATGCTGGGCTCAGTGCTGACGTGGCTGTCAGCCCTCTTGTGGCCTCCCGTATCCCCCCCCCCCGCCGCCATCTTTGGCATTGTGGCTACAGCTCACACCAGCAGGTGGCGACGTTGCTTCCTCGTTTGAGCGGCAAAACCGGCACACATCAAAACGTGTGCCCACGCAAAAACAGGAACTGCGATAGATTTTCACAGGGTGCAGCGTGAGGAAGGCAGTTTATAATGGTGGGTGTTGGCGCACGTGTTATGTAGAGGCCTTCGAGTGATGGATGGATGGATGAATGGATGGATGGATGGATGAGAGACATGAGAGAGCCTCACATTTCAGAGCAGCTGGTTTAGCCCATGCAGCATTTATAAAAAATAAACAGAGTAAAGGGCAGTCTTTGTGCATGTGTTCCCAGATCTAGAATGTTCTCTCTTGCTACCCACACACACACACACACACACACACACACACACACACACAGAGTTCCTGAGGCGTAGTGGCTGGTGGAAAAGTGAAATGTTTCCAGCTCCCTAAGGCACCATCATGGTGACAGTGATGATTTCATTCTTTGCTGGTTACCTTAGTTTACTTTATAATGTATTTTTAAAGCAGAAGTATCTTTAATATTTTACAGGCCTGTTTTAGTGTTTTTTTATAGTATCCTGCTGAATTAATGAAAAGGGTGTGTGGATAGATGCACGTGTGAAGCCAGTCTGCAGCATCCAGCCAGTACCCTGCTGTGTGAATGGTCCACATACTCTCTTTCGGGCATAAGAGGACCCATAATTCATACAGATGTGCCACCCTTACCCTGTACTTATTGAGGTGTTTTTTTGCAGTGCATCTTTGTTCCTTCTTCTCAGACATTTGACCACAGCAGTGCCATGTTCTCCACTGTAATCCCAGCTGGCTTTTTGGGGCCTTTCTGATGGGTGGAAGTATTATATACCGCAGACATAAGCCACACCTTTTCATTGGATGAACTCATGTGACTGACATAATGAGCTCCACCCCTTAAGAGAGTCATCAGGCTATACTATTACAGCCCTTTGCTCCCTGAACCTTCACTGTCCTGTCTGACCAGAGCTTGACCTGACCTTTGACCTTTGTCTGGGACCTGTGCCAGTCTCTCTCTGGGATTTAACCAGTTCTACTTTATTTTTAATTTCTGGTGCTAACCTTTCCCCTCTCTCTTCATCTTCTCTCTTTCTCCCGCTGTCTCTCTCTCTCTCTCTTTCCCTCCATTTCCTTCTGTTTTTTTCTCCACTGCAGAACCGCATGCACGAGTCTCTTATGCTGTTCGATTCCATCTGTAACAACAAATTCTTCATTGACACTTCCATCATTCTCTTCCTCAACAAGAAAGACCTGTTTGGTGAAAAGATCAAGAAGTCTCCTCTGAGCATCTGTTTTCCCGAGTACACAGGTAAGTGAGATAGCGAGCCCAGTGCCTGTCGGCACCCCCGCATGAAAACCGCCGCGGGGTACAGAGGCGGGGGCCACCCACAGCGACTTCCATCTTTCCATCCCCGGTGAAAATGCAAACACACTCAGGAAGGCTTTGAAGAATGTTCCGGAAGGGGGTGCTTCGCACTGGCCTGCTTCCTACTGCAGCGGAGGGATACACAGTCACCCAGCTTCCCCTGCTGCTCCAGCCGGCCTGCCAAGGAGCAGGCTGACAGGATGCTCCCTGATTGGCTAGTCTAGCCAGTGCATTATGGGTAGTGAGCAGGAGGTTGTGCCGTAGTGGACATGGTCGGGGGGAGGCATAGCCAAGGCAGGACGGACTGGAGTCCAGGCCACACGTGTTCCCAGCGAGGATGGGGTGCCGCATGGTGGGGTGGGGTGCGGTGCGCTGGGGGGGGGCAGCCCAATTCAAACAGATTTGTGTCCCAGCACAAAAATATTTACATATGTACTGGCGGGCGTTAAAATAATTTATGCAGCATTTTTTGTTTATATGACGTGCCACAATTTAAATATTATGGCTATATATTTAATGCAGCACAATTATGAGAAACGTTTTTTGGATTAAAAAAGTTTCAAGATAATTGAATATTTAATGCATTTGGGTATTTTGACGCGTCACTGTAATAATAACATGACACTGGTTTTTGTGGCCTTGCTGTGTTAAACACTCGTCAGGGTTGGGGTGAGCAGATGTGTCCATATGGAGTCCTGCTGATGAACCTGTACGTACATAAACCTGGGGCCAGGGCAGGCCAAGGACACAGCGGCCACCAGGGGGCGCCGCCATCTGATCAGCCTGTCCGAATAGGAAGGAAGATGACAAATGACAACTAGATTAATCACATTATTCTGACGGCCCCTGCAAGGGTGGGGCCGGCCCTGCCGGGGGCCGCTTGAATACTCAAAGTGCATTTTACTCTTTAAATGACAGGCTGCTCTCCCTGCCTCACAATGACACTAATGCAGCCTGCTGTTGTCAGGATATTTAAGCTGCTTTCCAGAACCTTTCCGTGTGACGCGGTCTGAGCAGACGGTCGGGTCTTGGGCGTCACCGGTGCACTCAGCCCCTACTCACGCCAACAGTCACATGACACCTTTACTCCCCATAGCAGAAATGATATACTATAATTGTAGAAAAAATGAAACATTTATGAAAGGTATTTAATGATATTAGCAGTCATATTAATCACGTGAAATTCAGTCAGTTAGATACATTTTTATGTAATAATTAAAGAGATTGTGAAAACGTCGCTCTGGGTGGCATGTGCTCCAGTCATTCATACTGGGCATTTTCCAACCCCCCCAAGCAGAGAGTAGAATCTCTCCCATGGAAACAGGACTTAACCCCCCTCCCTTCCCTCTCTCCCTCCTCCTCTATCCAGGCCCCAACACCTACGAGGACGCGGCTGCTTACATCCAAGCACAGTTCGAGAGCAAGAACCGCTCGCCCAACAAGGAGATCTACTGTCACATGACGTGTGCCACAGACACGGGCAACATCCAGGTGGTGTTCGATGCCGTCACCGACATCATCATCGCCAACAACCTGCGAGGATGCGGCTTGTACTGACCGCCCCCCCTCCCTCGCTCAACTTGTTTGGTTATGATTATTATTGAAAATGCAAGTTGGTAAATAATAATGATAATTTTAAGAAAGGCATACATATATAAATATATATATATAATAATGTTTTTAGTTTATCTCAAAGAGCTGCCAACAGAACGGATGTCTTATGGAAACCCAGCCCATAATAGTTTTAGGACAGCTTAGGTTTTTGGTCTTATCCACCCCCCCCCCCCCCCCCCCCCCCCCCACTTGCAGTGTCTTCTTATTTTAACAAAACAGACATTTTATTTTACATAAAGGAAATGTGTCTTCTTTTGTGTCTTTTTTTTTTAATGTTTACTTGTTAATTGTATGTATATTTATTTCGTGAGTATCAGCAAGGGGACTATAACCTGGGCACCTTTTGCCTGAAAATATTAGGTGATTTTGATAATGATACAATGAGAATTACAACAATGGAATCGGTCACAATGGTTTTGGTGTCAGTGGTAGATGTAAAGACTTACGGTAGCAAATTCAGGTGAAGTACTGGGTTTTTGATGTATCGCTTACTTTGGTCCATGGGACTGGGTTTATATGGTAATCCTGTCAGTTCTGTTCAGCTATTTGATGTTTTAGGGATGAAAAAAAAAAGAAAAAAAGTGTTTTTTTTTTTTTTTAATTATTATTATTTGAGGACACACACACAGGATCGCAGCATATCAGCTTGTTCAATTTTTAACTCGTGGATGGAAATCCTCCCAAGGGGCAGGTCTGTCACTCAGGCACGCCAGCGCTCTCATTGGCTGCGTGCATTTGGAGGCGGGACCACAGCGCTCTGTATCACCCCAGCTGTTACGAGGCCTCTTAGCCAAGTCAATTTCTCTAAGTGTCATATCAGTGCCAACCTTCTGAAAGGTGGGTTTGGGAATAGCGCTAGAAACACTAGGTTACAATAACAAGAACCTATTAATATTATTGTGCAAGAAGCGTATACTTTTAATTGTCATTAATTTATGAATTAATTTATTTATCCTCAGACCCGCCCGACCTTTACGCTCCCCCGACCCTCGACTTCCTACCTCCCATCATCCGTCTTTTCTCGTTGACTTCCTGTTTTTTGACTACAGGCTGGGCTATATGGCGTCTCCTGCAACTGACCCTGTCACTAATAGCATGACCTTTGGCCTTTGTATAAAGAAATAAACAAATAAATACTTCAAGTAGAAGATGTTGCGGAAAATGGAAAAAAAAAAAAACAAAAAAATAGAAAATACAAAACTGCATAAAAAGAGAAAAAAAAACATCTCATGGGATAGAGGGAAGGTTGGGTGACAGCCGTCACGACCAGTAAAAGTGATGCTTTGAAGACCACAGTCACTGGTCTGTGTGTGTCTTTAGAACACTATAGATCTGGTCCTATAACCTTTACAAGTTGAACAAAAAATAATAATTAAGAAAAATAATAGCAATCACAATTACATAAAACCAACAGTACAATTGAATGATATTTCCTGTGCTTTGTAGATGACAACATTTCACCCCCCCCCCCCCCTTTTCTTTAAAAAGCACTCCAAGGGTCCCTCCGATTCAGTCCGGATTGTTCTCACTGATTTAACCCATGTTGATGTGTAATGAACTAAAGCGACCCCTTTGCCTGACTGCCCCGCACTGCAGCGCCTCTGTCCCGGGGTCGTCACGGTGACGGGCATCGATGTGGCTGTATAGATAGGTTTCTCCTCCGTTTCTGGGAATCGTTCTTTAACACCTTCCAAGTCTGCACAGAAAAGCACAGCATTCACTCACCTGTAGATTTGGAAAGACGTCTCTCTCTGCTCCCTCTAAGCCTTTTTGCTCTGGAAAAAAAAGAAAAATAAATAAATGAAAGAATACTGTGTGTTATTACGTATTCCAGTTAGCCTTTCTGTTCCTCACCCATTTACTTTTCGTTTTATTCCAGTGAATGCTTTTTGTGCTGCCCTCCCCCCTACCTTTTTAGTGAATGGTTGTTCTTTCATGTGGGATGTTTGTGCTGAAAAAAAACAAAACAATCGAATGTAGTGTTTACATTAAAAGCCACAGTTTTCATGACAACCACATGCAGCATGTTGACTTTTGATTGCCTTCTGGTGCCGTTGCTGGGCTGATCCTCCGCTCGCACATCAATAATCGCAGACGCCCCGTTAAGGCCATGGAGCTGCATGAGGTGTGCACCAATGGGTGTCCACACACCCCCCCCCCCCCCACTGGCTTGCTTTCCAATCCGCACCCACGCAGCCTCATTTACTGTAAAAAACTTTACATTGGATCCAAAATACAGGTTTCTTCATCATTTTATGCAAAATGGTAGTTCTGTAGTGTAATATTTTGTATATTCCTTGTAACGATTGGGGACCCTTTCATTTACGCTGTCTGTGAATGACCATCATGTAACATGTATGAATATCAGCATTTTGCTCTCGGAAAAAAACACATGAAATGTAAGTAGCAGCTGAAACGCTTCTGTGTCCAACTATATTTTCTTAGAAGTTTAACAGAATTTATGTACAGTTTGCAAAGATGTTTTTTTTCTTCTTTCTTATGGGCCAGTTCACGCCAGTGTGTCGCCGCAATGTTTCAGGTCTCCACGTACCACACTGCCGCCCCAGTGAGTCCTCATGTGTCTCTCACTGGGTTTTAAAAGTTACTGGCGCTTTGGTTGGCGAGTGAAGCCATTTTCTGTTATAGCAAGGAAATTATGAGGAGGGAGGTAGGCTCTGCTGAAAAAGGGCCCAACTGCCCCCTGCTGGTGAAAGACGCAAACAGCAGCAGACCTCCCTCTGAGGGCTCTGCTCCATTTCACCTTTAGAAAGGACCATCTCTGCGATTAAGCACAAACAATAAGTTTAGTGAAGCACAATTTTTTTTTTTTTTCGTTTAGTTCACGTGGTGCTTGTAAACATTTATCCTATGTGTTCTCGAAAATAAAAGAGATTGAATATTGTTTTGAGTTATTTAGTGAATTACATAATATTCAATCAGGGCACCGGACGGGTCGGTGAGACATGGAGACACCGTTCGACGGGACGCAGGCTCCAAAAATAACACTGAATTATACCTGACTGAAGACGGAGACAGACGGCTTAAAAGTCATGAATGAGAGCCAGTGAACCGTAATGAACCGGTTTATTAACGCTGCTCCCGATGTGTGTCCGCTGCAGCCAAGACGATCTGCAGACGGCAAACGCAGCAGAGGAGTCAGAGGCGCAATAATGCGACCTTCGGTACTGATCTGTTATATAAATCGTTCCCGAGAGGCATGAATTTACACCAAGCAATCGTTATAGACATCGAAAAAGGTACTAAGGTCTCTCTGGATATTTTATGCTAATCATGGCCAGTTGGTTATCTTTTCTTACTGTGATTGTAGTTATGTAATTGCATATTTATGTTGGAGGTAGATCAGCTGTGTTAATTGTCGCCAGTTTACCTTCTGATTCAGTTAAGTCTCTTGATTGACTTTTTACATATAATAATTACTTGCAAATGATTACAGAACTAGCTCCTTCTGCATATGACGTGTACAGTATATTATCGAACGATTAAGTAACTCCATTAAAGATGCATCAACAGATGATTGCATAGTTTTCCAAAGCAGCAGTCAGCGCATCATTATGGAAGGTTTGCATGGGGGATGCTTGCTATAATGTCATCGATAGCAAATATTTACTTTTAGGGGCTGCACGGTCACCGTCTACCTCCAAACTTAAAGAGTGCCTACGATCACTACCTCCAAGGTCTGAATCCCACTATGATGGATTGAGTTTGCATGCTCTTCCCGCAAGGAAATGCAGTTAACCCAACCGGCGTCCTTCAATTACCAGTAATGGGAAAACATGGAAACCAAAAACACGGATTTTTCAAATATAGAAGCTCAAACGTCGCACCCGCCAGTCACGTGGTATGTGCGTCGGCTACGTTTGAACGTTTCATTAATTAGGTCATTGAATAAGATTAATGGCACGCTTCTGCTCCAGTAAGCCGTCTTCGGAGAGTATATCCAAATACATATATATAAATCTATTTTGATGGTTGTCTCTGCGCGGTACCTAAAAGGAAACGTGAAATAAGAGCATTCAGTGTCTAGGTTAAATACCCCCACCGCGCCCTGCCAGTGCCTGGCATCATATGCCGCGCTATTTTTTGCCCGTTAGTGCCGTCTGGCTGTAGCCTGGAAACCAGTGAGTGAGTGCATCCACAAAATTACTCCCGTTTAATGTATAAATTAAATTATATGTGAAGAAACATAGTTTCTGAATATTTTATTTTTAAAAGCTCTATTTAAAATATTCAAAATAGGCCTACTAAATGAGATGTGAAGCTAAATTCTTTGCTTGAAAGAAAAATGCGTTCAAAAACTGATTTAATACTTTATTAATTTAGTTCGATATACATTTCTGCTTTTTTGTATCTGTGGGTGACATCTCGAATTTTGCCACTGTTTTAAATTCAGTTTGGCATGAAATGCTACAGTCATTTAAAGGCTGACGGGAACCTAGACAGCGTGTATCCAGCTGTAAGTCTCTGAACTTCACGCGGGGTCCAAGAGCCCAGTGATTTATTGGGCAACACCGATGTCAATCAGTCCGGCGTGTCGCCCCGCCAGTGACAGAGGCTTCCCTGCTTTGAGGATCCCTCTTCTTCCGCATCTGCAGCAGACGGTGGCAGAGTGCAACGTAATACTGAAGCTATTATCGGGGTTAAAAATGGATTGTGTCTTGTGATCCTCAGAGTGTTATTATCACGTGAAGCGTGTGAGAGGTGGGAGGGGAATGTGGCTATTTGAAGCTCACGTTAAACATGTTTAGGAGTACACATGACTTTGTCCTGCAGTAGTTATTGACCAGACAACACCTTCACGGTTGCTATAGATATGAACTTGAGGGTCCTATGTCGCCCCCTCCCTCTCCAGTGCAGAACCTTACATTTAAATGAAGGGCATTTGGTTTGTTTGTAGCAGAGTGACACTAAATATGACACATAGCTAAAACGTAATATCACAGGAATGAGGACAACTTGTCAGGAACAATTTGGTAAATGGCCTTTGTTACATTTGTTACAATTTACAATAGCACATTCACAATTGACAACATTTTTACCGATTAATAAATCCACCTATCCATACACCTATCCATCCATCTGCAAATCACGTACTTTAGGACTTAAGATGATTCCAGGGGCCCATCACTCAGGGGCCCTAAGAAATTTGGAACATGATTGGATTGG